CTTCCCAATTATTTTAAGACCCTGAGTGTTGGTCCGGCCGGGGCTCGAACCCTCGACCTCCCGCACAATAGTTCAGCGCTTTATCCATTGAGCTAACCGGGAGGCGGTTAACATTAAGGCTGCCTAGCTTTGAAGTTTTAAAGATATTATGAGAAAATCTGGAAACTGTGCTTAGATTTAAGTGTAAACTTCTCAATCTTCGGACAGAACTTGTTATTTTTGACAGTTGCGATTTTGAAGTTATTTGGTCGCGGGTATATTCATAACAATCAACTAGCTAGGTAAGTAACTAAATAAATAGCGATCCATCCAACTCAAAGAGATCAAACCTATGAGATGTCATTCCTTTCAAACAATGAGAGTGGACTAAAGCCAGATCCGGTTTTAGGACGTCCATGATGTACTGAAGGGCAGTGGTGATGTCCATCTTCTTTACGTTGTTTTCTCTTTCCTCCAGCTTTTCTAGGTCCACAATGTCGGACAGTTTCTTCACAAATGACCAGGTGCCAGTTGGTCTTACAAGGGCGTAACTGAAAATGTAGTCATACTGTTTCGATTGCATGTCCTCTGGAAACGAGCCTCCATAAAGAATGCCTAGGCGAAAACTGTATTCATCCGATGGTGAGCCCAAAACATGTAAAATCTAAAACAGCAATATAATAAAAAAAACCTGACGAAGGTTGTTTTTCCGATTATAACAATTTTGACCTAACGAAGAAGTCCTACTATATAAGTAAGCACCTCGCATCCAAAATATCGGTTCTGTACATAGTCTTAGAACTTCGTCTAAATACCACAAAGACCTTTAATTTTTCAGTGCTTCGTCACGGCGTGCAATGAAACAGATATCTTTAAATATCCTAGGGAAACATAAGTGCACATAAAGCTCGCAAAATCAAAACTCTAATCAAGAGTTTATTCACTTTCGTCTTCACCCCTCTAATACACAATAGAAACTTGTCTTTTACCTTCATGGTTGACTTCATTTTTCACTTCTATAGTTTCAGTGACTGTCTGCATTATAGACAAAATTAGAGGTAAAAAAATGGCAACATCAACTCAAATCAAGCGTTTTGCCAGAGGCTAATAAAAAATTGCGAAGGGAGCAATTGTGGAGAATGCTATCAAACATACTGCATAAGCCACAAGTTAAAGTCGGCATTTCATGAAGCTTACAGAAAGAATAACAAACGGTTTCCAAATTTTATTGTAACAATGATACAGCCGTTACCGTTGTTACCGTTCGAGTTAAAAGAATACATTGCCTATGTGCTGTCTACACGGAAAATGACTGAAAGCCATTTGTGAGTTGTATTTTTGGATCACACTTCTGGTTTCGTGATAAACCTTGAAATCAATTGTTTTCACTAACTCCTTTATTTCCTTTATCTTTTTCTCTTCTTTTTCCTCTAAACGCAACAACCTGCTGCAGCTTCTTATATAGTTCCCCACAATCTTTCTAGAAGATTCTACAGATTTACAACACGACTATTGACCACTATCAAAAATGGCTGCCGGATTAATATTCTTTAGTTTAAATTTGAATTAGTCTTTCTGGCCTCGCTTGAGATGATGTATTCTTTTGAATTTTGTACTGGAAAACGAGGCCAGAAAGGCTAATTTAAGATTCTACAGATTTACAACACGACTATTGACCACTATCAAAAATGGCTGCCGGATTAATATTCTTTAGTTTAAATTTAAATTAGTCTTTCTGGCCTCGCTTGAGATAATGTATTTTTTTGAATTTTGAACTGGAGAACGAGGCCAGAAAGGCTAATTTAAACTTAAACAAAAGAATATTAATCCAGCAGCCATTTATGAAAGTGGTCTATTGCCCATGTGCTCTGCCAGCGATATAATGCCATTAATTAACTTGTAGTTGGGCTTTACCTGCAAATGAATTAAACTCGAGTAAAAACAAAGAATACCAATTCCAGTTTTTAAAATTCCCCAGCTTTTCCTTGAAAAGTATTCGAGTTCAAATAAATACAATATGAAGTGAGCTGATGTCAGCTGGTTAATTTTCTGCATTGAGACAATCTAAAAAAATAGGGAATAAGCAATAGCAAAGCTAACATTTTTTCTCACCCACTTTTGTGGTCATCTTCCCTGAATGAGTGCCCGGCCTAAAAAAAAAAAAAAAGCACCCATCCCCCTTCTCCTAAGTAAGGAAACAGGTGGTGAGAAACTACAAACTTATCAGGTTGAAGTTGTTATCTTGAAATAACACCAAAGTCTTGTAACTAATTTGCGGGGAAATATGTATAGCTGCTAAAGATGGGTAACTCAACAA